TAGCACTTTAGTGTTTTAAATCTATGCATGAAAATTTGTATTTAGTTTTTTAAAAGCAATAATAATGCTATTTTTTGTGATATTAATGATTTTAGTGCTCTATGTGTAAATATGAAAGTTTAGGTATGAGATGTAAATGATGCGGGGCGCTATGCGGCGGTGATTGTAGGAAGATCAAACTTGGCGGCATTATTTATTTTTTTCTATTTTCTTAAAGATTTTCCTTTATCATTCCTCCTATATATGTGCTGTATTAGGGTTTGGATCCTCAATTTTATTGTGTTTTTTGTTGGAACAGCCGACGTTATCTTTGTTTTCCCTTTTAAAGCTGTATCCAAAGGTCTGAGAGTTGCTTTGGTTGCATCTCACTCCTGAAGTGGTGATTATCTCATGTATCCCCTTCCGCATCACTCCCGACCACCCCTTCCCTGTTGCGACGGACCGAAACAACCTCCTTTTATTGTTTTCCTTGTTGTCCAGCCATTTTCCTCATTGTTGCTGCCCAGGACAGCCCTCCTTTGGCTGTCTAGTGGTCCACCGCATCACCCGTCGCTGTTCTAGCCCTCCTTACATGCTGTCATTGCTGTTCCAGCCCTCCATCTTTGCTGCCGTTGCTGTTCCAACCCTCCCCCTTTGCTGTCATCATCTCGGATAGCAATGTCACGTCAATATCTGTTGCATATTTGTTGTTCGGAACCCGAGAAACTGCTGTCTTGCTGTTTTTTGCTTGCCCACCCACGCATCCACTATCCCGCCAGTTTCCAAACCCTCGCCCATCACCACCACCCCCTGAGATCTATCCTAGTGTGAGTTTGTATCGTGTATATTGTTATTTTTCATTTTCATATATTTGTTGTAATTGTTTATTGACTTTTCTAGTAATAATATTTATTTGCTTATCATTATTTGGATTAATTCTGATATGAGTTTGTACATAAGAATTGTTTGCCATGTATGTAAATGCCCTAAAATTCTAATCTTCTTCTTTATTCAGGCTTCAGGAAATACTTAAATCTGGGATTTACGAAGAGGGGCGGGTACCTCGCACAGTGGAGTGTGAATTGACTTTAGATCTTGTTGATTCTTGCATTCCAGGTGATGATGTGACAGTTACTGGAATCATCAAAGTAATTAATAATTACATGGATATAGGTGGAGGTAAGAGACAAATTCCTCACTTTTATCTGACGAAGTTTTGTGTGGCAATTAGTGCAAGTTTATTTATTTATTTTTTGTAGAGTGTATGATTTTATGGTTTCTTTTGTTGTTTTCCAGTCTTAATTAAAATATAATATTTTTAATTTTGAGCTTGTTTCCTACTTTTTTAACTAAAATAACACTATCAGGCTCTTTTTCCTCTTTTTGTGTTGTCAATTCTCGATTTTGAGATTGTTTCCTGTTTTAACTAAAATTACCTCTAAGGAGTAGATGTCTTTTTTGGTTTATGGTGTTTATTACTGGTATGCTGGATGATCTCTAAAATTTGAGCTTATTAGTGGGAAAAATTGAGAAATCACATAAATTTTTGAAAAGATGTTCTGCTTTAAAAAAATTCATGATATAGAGCCTGATAGTGTTAGTTTGTGATTAATTCATTTTTGTTACCTGAGATAGCTCATGCATGTGCATTTTCATACTTGATTATATGTATATATATATAGAAAGCCCAAATGCTAATATATTTAAAAGAAATAAGGATACATATAGATTGTGTGGAAGGGCCCAAGCATGACACCCTTCCCCCACGATAACCACCACCTACAAATGGTTCAAAAAAAAGAAAAGAAAATACAGAAAATTACAAGAGACCTAAAGAAAAAAAACAAAAAATGCCAAAAACGTAGTATCAAGTAGCTAGAGAGCGACCCAATTTTGCTTTGCTTTGCCTCTGCCTCTAGTTCTAGGAAAGGAGCAAGCTAATAAATTGGTAAGATGAGTGTCATTGCCAGTAGTGATCAAAGTATTATCCAATAAGTTCCCAAGTTCGAGCTGCCTCCCGTCTTCTTCTTCCTCCTGGAATAGACCTGTCATTCCTCATTCGAAGACTGGTTCGCCTGATCAGTGGATTGGTCTAAAGTGTGTCAGACTTGTGTAGGATGTTGAACATTAGAAATAACTGCTTGTTGTACTAGCTGATTTTTGATTGAATCAAATGAGCACTATCACGTGTCTTGGCATGTAAGTGAGCATTCTTTAATAAATGTGAGTGATATAAGCACTTTTGGATCTGTGTCTGTATTATGATATTCTTCATCAGGAACTGCGATATTGGGAGAGGATCGGTTTGCACCTTCTCAGCAGGGATGGTAGGTGGCTGATCGTTAGCGATATCCAAAACCTATCCTGTGGTAGCTTTCTCTCCAGATGGAACATATATGTCTAGAGTAGTGAGATTAGATCCAGCCTTATTCACTTGATCTTTAGATTTCAAATTAGGATGAAACTTATGACATTTATCAAGTGTATGCCTAAACATCTTACAATAAGAACAATAAGACGGTCTATGCTCCATGACGATTTGTTGCCAATATCCATTATGAGTTGTGCCCAATCAGACTTCAGTAACATCAGGTAAAGTAATATCTCTTTCCTCAAGAATTCGGCCACAGAAGGTCTGGTTAGGTTGAAAGTTGGTAGATTAGATTCATAGGGTCCCCAAGTATGGCCTCAATAGAGTGAAGAACTTGATGATGAAAAAAACGCAGCTTGAGACATGGTAGACTGAACCATACAGACATAGTAGGAGGGTCATGATTGGGGTCAAAATCAGGAGACCACTTGAGTAGCTTCATTGATTTACCCGCAATGCTATGATATTTTTTTGAGAAAATTCGAGTGTAGTCTTCAGCCACGATTAATTGAATCAATATATGTTTGTCATCCATGGGCCCCACTTTCCACTTTCCTGCTAATTTGAGATCACCAAAACTTTTTCTGATAACTTCCATAGGTGGATGCCCCCACTGAAATTTTTCAATAAGAGTAAACTTTAATTTAATAGATAGATAGATATATTGATAGAGAGAGAGAGATAGACAGATAGATTTGAAAGCCCAAAAAGGTTAATATAATGTATTAACTAGAAATAAAGATACAAATACAATGTGATGAAGAGCCCAAACATGGATTACCCACCACGTGGGCAAAGGAGGCTTTGTCAGGTTCAACCGAATAAGTAGGAAGCTTCATCACAACAATTAGAATCGGTCAGAGGGCAGGAATGACGAGCTGAAGATGGTATGGGCGAAGCCGCAGATTGTTGTGCAGAAAGCTGCGCAGAAGACAGGAACTGAACAAGTGTGAAACATGCGAACCTGTCGGCGTCAAAATTGAATAGAGATGATGCAACAGATGCGAACTCTGTCGGCTGCGAATGTCGCAGACGCGAGCTGCAGTCGACGTGGAAGCAGCGCGAGCCTACGACGACGGAGAGGACGGAGAGATGACACCAGAGAAGTAATGCGCCAGAGAAGAAATGTGAGGAAAGGAAATGATCTTATACGATAAGAGTTGCTAGGGTTTGACATGGGTTAAAACTTTAACAAAGCCGAGCGGGAGAGACATCCATATCAACATAAACAAATGCAAAAATAAAATGAAAAGTGTGTCGTGACACACACACACACACACACACACACACACACTACACACACACACACACTACATGGATATGATTTTGACTTATTTTTTTCTCTAGTCATTTTGTATAACACTTATCTTTTCCTATTCATTTTTTCAGAGTCATTTCATGTTAATTCCATCTAATTGTTTTGTTCTGCCATTTTTATCTATCTATTAAACTTGCAAAATTTATTTCTCTTCTTTTGATACCGGAGTTAACCCAAACCACGACTCGAACAACACAATTTTATTGCTGACTTTGAAGGAATTACAACATTGACTCGTAAACGGAAAATAACACAAACAAATGGACAATAATATTGGAAATAAATACTCAAAAAGTAATAAAATAAGAACTAAAGGGGCAGGAGCAGTCCTGGATAATGTCGGAGGGTGGCTGAGACGTCATTGGGGTGGTGGGGAAGGAGTCAGCGGCGGTTAGAAGATCGTCGGGGTGGTTTGCGGTGACCGTAGTGATGATGAAGGGCCTAGAGTGGTCGGCGGTCTGCAGTAAGCAACATCGGGGAGGAAGGCAGTGGCAGGATGGCTGTTGTGGGGAGCTAGAAGAGGCTTTGAAGTGGGCTGGAAAGGGACCTGAGGGATCTATGGCCTGCTGGAGGTGGCGCGGGGAGGAGGGCTGCGACTAGAGGTGGCTTAATGGAACCTGGAGGTACTGCGGCAGACTGTTGAAACGGGAGGAAACGCCTGAAAGAGCAGCGGAGGTGCGGTAGGGAAGATGAAGGACACCAGGAGGGGGAAACATAGTGGAGATATACACCATCTTGGCGGGATACAACTGTAGCACCATGCCGCCAAAGGATACGACCCTCGAAAGAGGGAAACCCCAGAAGCAAATTTTGAAATCGGAAAACCAAAATCACTGGTTAAAGCTTAAGCAAAAACACATATAAATAGAGAGAAGACTAGTAGATAACAATGGTGAAATTCGGGAAAAGAAGGGGGGAAATGGTAGGAAATGAAGAGGAGGGGGTTGGGGGGGGGGGGGGGGGGGGGGGGGGGGGGCGGCAAAGGGGGGGGGGGAGGGGGGGTCGAGGAGGAGGAAGGGGCGTTGCAACGGATATGGATAGGCGGAAGATTAGGGCACGAGAAGGCATAAATTGCAGAAGCGAAGCAGAACAAAATCACAAATATTAAGAGGTAATGGACCGGTACCGGTCCAACGGAAAGCTTGGACTGGTTCAAAAGCTGTGCCCGGTCTTCGAGTGCGATAATGCAGCGGGCGAGACCCGCAGCGAAGAACTGTTCCTCGTCAGTCCCTCGAGGTTGGGGGAGCTTCAACATCAACTGTCGAAGCTTTCAATACCTAGTAGTATTCGATTCCTCGTAGTATGGAGTGAGATCTATGACATTGAATGTTCTTGACATTTTTGTGTCTCCTGGCAGATCAATTTTGTATGCGTTATCATTTAGTTTTTTTAAAATTCAGAAATGTCCATCTGCTTTGGGCTTGAGGTTGTTGTAAGCTCCTACGGGAAATCGTTCTTTCTTAAGTTGTATCCACACGAGGTCACCTTAATGAAATGTCATCTTTTTCCTGGACTTGTTTGCTTGTGATTGATATTTATGGTTTTGCTTAGAAATTGTTTTCCCGACGTCCTCGTGGAGTTGCTGACTTTGGGAAACATGTTTTGTAGCATCTTCACTAATCTCTGTGTGGGGTAGAAGTGGGACCAAATCGATGGGCGTGATCGGGTTGCGACCGTACACAATTTCGATCGACATGTGTCTTATGGTCTGGCTTGTTGATCTGTTGTAGGAAAATTTTGATTGAGCGATAATGAGATCTCATTGTTTGATTTTTCTCAACGAAGCATTGAAGCAGATTCCCAAAGCTTCTATTAAAGACTTCGGTCTGCTCATCCGTCTGAGGATGTGCTGCATAACTAAATTGGAGTTTAGTGTCTAATTTGCTCAAGAGTTTTTGCCATAAGTGGCTTAGAAATTTAATATCCCAATTGAAGTAATGGCCCTGGGCATAAATCGACAATATGATATGCATCTAACGTCCGACGACAAGCGATGAAATGTGCTATCTTGGAGAACCGGTCAACTACGATCGTGATAGTCTTTATTCCTTTGTGTGTGTGGTAGTTCGATGGCAAAGTCCATGCCGACATCAGTCTAAGGTGCTTTAGGGACTAGTAAAGGTGCATATAATCCTATCTTTTGGCTGCTTGTTTTGGCGATATAACAAATCTTGTATTGTCGGACGTATCACTCTACATCTCGTGTTAGCCGGTGCCAAAAGAAATGTTTTTTCACGAGTGCGAGAGTTTTATCTCTGCCAAAGTAGCCTGTCAATCCACTAATGTGGTTCTCCTGGATGATAGCTTCACGTAGAGAGCATTGGAGAATATGCACAATTTGTGGTGGCGGAACAAGAAACCGTTTGTTTTGTAGAACTGCCTGTGAGGTTTCTCCCAACACTGTTCCCAGATTTCCTGGAATTTTTCATCGGTCTCGTATAAGTCTTTAATAACTTCAAAATCTACCACGTGTGTCTACAAGGATGTGATCAGGAGGTGACAACGGCTTAGAGCATTTGCGACGCGGTTTTGATTTCCGACTTTGTGTTTGAGTTCGAACTTTAAGGATGCTAAGAAATCTACCCAGGTAGCGTGGCGCCCTTGGAGTTTATTCTGACTATTTAAGAATTTTAGAACTTTATGATCCGTGAAGAGGGTGAACTCCATTGTGAGTAGGTAATGACTCCAGTGTTTTGATGCTCTAACAATGGCATACAATTCTGTCGTATGTGGAATATTTTCGTCTAGTCTCATTTAGTTTTTTGCTGAAGTAGGCTATAGGGTGACCGCCTTGACTTAGCACAACGCAATGCCTATGTCAGAAGTGTGACACTCAACCTTGAAAGGTTAACTAAAATCAGCCAAGGCAAGAACTGGGGCTTGAGTGACCATCTATGTGATTTTTTTTTGTTTCAACAGCTCGGTTAGGTGGGCGGTGATAGTACTGAAGCTGCGAACAAATCTTCGGTAGAAGGAAGCTAGCACAAAAAATTATCAAAGTTTGGTAAAAGATTGAGGTTAGGAGGAAGAAGGGGCGCTGCTACAACTATGGAAAGGTGGAAGATTAGGGCACGAGAAGGCATAGATTGTGGAAGCGGGGTAGAGCGGGATCGCGAATATTAAGAGGTAATGGACCGGTCCCGGCTCAACGGGAAGGTTGTACCGGTTCAAAAGCTACGTCAGGTCGACGAACGTGATAATGCCGTGTGCGAGACCTGCGGGGGAACGGCTCTGCGTCATCTTTTCGTTATCTAGTCTTCAATATGTGGTAACACCATTGCCTTTTTCATATGCTCCATCCGACATTTTGCAACACTCAACTTAATTGTTAGGGACTTCTTGTGGCCCGAACATAACTAGATAGCATAATTAACATATTTATAATTTTGTTAAATCTATTTTAGGTCTTCATTATATCTCTTTTCTCGTGGTAATCATGTTTCCATTTTAAACGCACAATTTTAAGTTATTCCTTCATCTATTTTAAGTCATTCCTTCATCTATATACATAATCTGTGTAATATTCAATGTGCATAAACTTAGGGATTGTTTGGGATCACTGTTTTAGTAATAAATGAATAATTAAATCTCTTTTTGAAAAAAAAATGTTTTCTGATTCTATTCTATTACCATTCTTTTGTAGGATGATTTTGTTTTGTAGTAACCACATCTTAAACAGCTCCATCTTATTTAAGACATACAGTTTGACCACTATCAAAGTTTAAAATACTTTAGTGTTTTTTTTTTTTTGGACAAAGTCATAAATTTAAGTGGAAGGGTATATTTGTACATTTTAGACAAATTCTTTCTTCTTAAGCTATCATGGTTCGCTTGCCCAGATTTTCTAATGAAAAATTCGGGCTCTTGAGGGGAATGTCCCTTGGAGTTGACGTGTAAAAATAATATGTTGGCTCAAGTTATTACACTTTTTTTATCAAGATAACTGTTTTCATGTCATGCTGTTTATTTTAAGATTTGAAGTTCTTTATTTGAAATCCAATGGATTTCTTATATTCCTGAATGCAAATATTTTGCTGTACTTGCATATAAAAAAAAAATCAGGTTTGTTACGATTATCTGTTTTAGAAGTAAGAAACACAAAATATCTTATTAACAACTGTTCTGTAAGTAGCTATGTTATGGAGATATGTGAATGAGTTAATTAGAACACCTTTTGCCACCAATTAAAATTTTTTTCTGATACTTATAGTTTTTCTTCCATTAGTTAATTGTTATATTTCCTTTATAGAAATTCAATATAAAAATGTGATACCGTCTTATCTTGGTGCTTCAAGTCCTTCGTTATTTGCAGAAAATAGCATAACTTCTGCTATGTTAAATTTATGAAGGAAAGAGTAACAATTTTATTCATTTGAGTAATTTTCTAGGGAAGTCGAAAGCCAAGAATCAGGGGCTGTACTATTTGTATTTGGAGGCAGTTTCGGTTAGAAACTCAAAGTCATATTCTGTTTCTGAAGAATATCATCCCCGTAATTCTGAGACTAAAAGTAATATGTTATATGATCTGCATACTTTTTCACAAAGGGATTTGGAGTTTATTGTCAAATTCTCAGGCGAGTATGGGCCAGATATATTTCGCCAAATAGTTCAATCTTTTTGTCCATCCATTTATGGGCATGAATTTGTAAAAGGTAACAAAATGTTTGTTTGATAAGCGTCACATTTTAGTTGCTAGAGGAGCTTTCTTTCAGTAGTACTTTTTCACACTTAATGGTGGCTACATTGTTTCCTTTCACATTGCATGCTGAGTATTGTGATTTTATATTTTTGAAAAAAAGAGACATTACTTAAATACTACACAATTCTTATTTATTTACATATCTAACATCTAAACTTTCATATTTACATACATACACTCTGATCTTTAATATCAAATAAATTTACCTTCTAAAAGTGAAGCACACCTTTTCATGCATAGTTTCATGATACCAAAGTGTTATAAATGTAAATTTCAAACTGTAGGTGTTGGATTTGTTAATACAAAGGAATTGTTTGGTAATGGTATGTATGTAACTTTCCCCAAAAAAAATTGAGTGTATATTTTTTGGAGATCTTTACAAAACCTATTTATGCATATTAATCATCTCTCAAGCTTCCTCTGATTTATTGATTAGTTAATGATAGGGATAAGAGATCATCATTATTTGCTTTATCTAGATTTTAATAGTGAGGGCTATAAATCTTTTTTTGTTATTCATTCTAGTTAAAGTATTTTTAAAGCCACTTTTTCATTTTCACATGAATAAAGGAATAATTATATTTTTTGAAAGGTTGGAGTCCCATGCATTGAACGTAAGGCAATTAAATATAGACTTAAGGGTATGTTTTGTTCAATGTTATTTGTATAATATTTTTTATCTAAAAGGAAATACTATTTGAATTGCAATGTTATGTTTCCACTGTAATGCGTTTGGTTTAATGAAATTTTACTTGAAGGATGTAATTCTATTTAGAATTGTTGATAGTGATTCAAACCTTTTTCTTTTTTTTTCTTTTCTTTTAAACCATCAAGATTTACGTAATCTTGATAACATTAAATTTGGCTGCTATTTAGTTTATCTCAACCTTGACTACTAATTTTATTCAGATTATCTATGTATGAGAAATAACATCAAATGCCTCTTATTATAAATAACATAGCATTATGTCAAAGAAAACTTTGAACCAAAATTTCCTTAGATTTTTTGGACATATACAACTAAGGTTAGAAACTGCATCCATTAGATGGTTAGATAAAGTTATTGTTGAAGATAGACACGTGGTAACATGGATGGAAATTGTTCAATTTGATTTATGAATAATTTGTTTAATGCCCCAAATGTCACTTAGCATGAATATTTTGAAAATGTGAATTCATAAAACCAACCACAAATTATATGGATAATGATTTATATAGCTGACATCAAATAGTTGGGATAAGGCTAAAGGAGGGGAAAATCCAAAAGGGATATATTGACAGTTGGTATGTGGCCAATTTAATTTGAAAATGCTCCACTTTAGCCCCCCACTATTGGAAATTCGTCCCAATTTGTCCCTCATAAATTGAGATCAATGTTATATAACTGAGACACTAGATAGGGATCATTTTTAAAAACTTGGGGAATAAATTGGAACAGTCTAAATCTCTGAGATTAAATTGGCCACATTAGAATAGTCGGTGGACCATTTTGGGATTTAATTCGACTAATGAATTATTACTTGACATGAGTGTTGGAAGTAAACAATCAAAAAATCAAAATAGAGATTTTTAAAAGAAATAATTGCTTTAACAACTTGTTCTATTCATTAATGACTTGGAGTTATATAGAGCCTTACAATATTCTTACAAATAAACTCTCAAACTTCTTCTTTATTTCCTATTTACGAATAAAACCTAAACTAGATACAAATCTCAACACACCCCCTCAAGATGGGCAAAAACATATTCACTAAGCCTATCTTGTTACTCAACCTAGATAAATCTAATCAGCTAAGTCCTTTGGTGAGGTAGTCAGCCACTTATTCTCCAGTGGCTACATGACTTGGCTTCAGTAGTCATTATTCGACATTTCCTTGATAAAGAACCTATAAATGTCCACATGTCTGGTTCTTTTGTTATGTACGAGATTGTTAAAAATGTTGATTGCTGACTTGTCGCACAATTTCATTTGAGTTTCTTCGTCCACCTTGAGCTCTACCAACAAGGCTCTCAAGCAAATCATCTCGACAACTCCTAAGGCCATGGCCCTGCTCTCTGCCTCTATTGTTGACCTCACTACCACTGACTATTTTTTGCCCTTCTATGAGACCATGTTGCCCCTTATGAACATGTAGTATCCTGATGTGGACCTAATATCATCTGCACAACTTGCCTAGTCAGATTCACAAAATCCCTCAATGCCTACATGCTCATTCTTCCTAAATATCAACCCCTTCTCTGGAGCACTCTTCAGGTACCTTAGAACCTAATACATTGCATCCATATGACCCTTCCTTGGATCATGCATGTAGCGGTTCATCACACTCACTGCAAATGAGATGTCGGGATAAGTATGACTCAGATAGGTCAGACAACCCACCAATCTTTGGTACCTCTCACGATCAACTGACTCTCCTGCGTTTGCGCTCAGCTCGACCTTCTGATCAATTTGAAGGACTGTAGGTTTGCATCCCAACATGTTTGTTTCTGTGAAGAGATCAAGTACATACTATCTGGTCCGTGGGTCACCTCAATCACAAGGAAGTATCTGAGCTGTCAAAGGTCATTCATCTAAAATTCTTTGCCCAATCTTACCTTTAGTTGAACAATCACTGTCTCATTATCCCCAAAGTTAATCATGTTATCAACAAACACTAGTGGTGTGACCTCTATTTTGACAGAAAAAAATACTGTTTGATCGACATTGATATGTTGATATCGCATGCCTACCATAGTTTTTCTATATTTATCAAACCAGACTTCAGGAGACTGCTTCAAGCCATAAAGTAATTTCTTGAGCCTGCACACTCACTTGTACTAAACCCGTTGTTATCTCTACATGCACCTGCTCTTGTAGCTCATCATGAAGAAACGAAACGCATTCTTCACATCGAGTTGGTGTAACCTCCACTCATCATTCACTGCCATAGAAATCAGTGTCCTCATTGTGCTCATCTTTGTTACTGGTGCAAAGGTCTTGTCATAGTCAATGCATACGTCTGATTGCACCATTTTGCCACCAATTGTGTCTTATAACACTCAACTTTCCATTCTGAATTTTGATTTATTACGAAGATCCACTTGCACCTAACTGTTTTTTTTTTTTCATTCATGCATGAACGTTTTTCACATGGGATCCTCCTTAGCTATCTGTCAATACTTGGGTATAGAGACAGTGTCTAAAGATGCAATTAAAGCTCAATGTACAAGTGATATGTTAATGTATGAAATAAAATGAGCAATGCCATGTTCTCACCCAAAACGATTAGGAGGATGTCCCACATTGTTGCGAGAGGTCTTCCTTAAAGTCATGGGTTTGGAAGTAGAAAAAATAGGAATATATTACCTATGTATTCTGAGTTTGAGGTGAATGGAGTAGGTTTCTCAAGAGGCAGAGTAGATTGAGACAAGGGACTCGTTGGCATGAATGGCACTGCAGACACTATTCTCTCATTCTGCTTCCTCTTCTTTGTATACACCTTCAGCTCCCTTTCAGCCTGAATCCCACCACCTTCATGCTCTATCTCCTCATTTTCCGGCTCCTTAGCCGATTCATCCCATGTCATAGGACAAGACATCGCTTTCACATGAACCAATCTCTCACCATCATTGCTCACCCCCTCTTGCCTTACATCTCCAAAATCTGGCGAGTCACGAAAGGGTTAGGTCACCTCCAAGGTGTAGTACAACTCAAATTTTTTAAAAGATACATCCATACTTACAAACAGCCTCGTATTTATCGAGGTCCAACAAACATACTTATTCTGGGTAGCAGAATAATCTACGAAAAGACACTTTACAACTCTCGGATTCAGATTCTCTACTGATGATTTGTTGTCCTTCACAAAATATACACAACTAAATACCTTCAATTGGATGATCTCACAATTATCTCCTTTCAATTTCTGACAAGGAGACCTCCAATCAAACACCCTCGAGGGCATTCTGTTGATTAATTGACCAGTTGTCAAAACTAATTCCCCTTGCAAGTGCTCTGGAATATTCATCATGCTTTGGACTACCTCTTAAAGGTGTTCATTCTTCCTTCCTGCTACTCTGTTTTGTGTCATTGTGTATTCACTTGTGGTTTGATGTTTCCCTTGAGCTGACAAATATTTTCCAAACGTCTTGTTGCTATACTCTATCTCATTATCAGACCTCAATACTTTTACTATTACACCATATTGAGTCTGGATTGTCTTGTGGATCTTTAAAACTTGCAAACACATCACCTTTATTTTTAATCCGATTAAACCAAGTAATACGAGAAAAATAATCAATGAAAGTCATAAAATATTTATAACCATTCATTGAACTGGTGGAAGAGAATCCCAAATAACCAATTGTATCAAATCAAAACACAAGAATTTGTATTCTCATAACTGATATAAGAGTTCATAGTAAGCTTGCAAAACTCACAAGATCACATATAAGTTTTTATTTATTTGTCTTTTCATAAAAAGGAATACAAACAACTCAGTAAACTAAAACAAGAGTGTCTCATGCATTTGTGATGTAGTAGTAATACATTCTCTACACTCCCATATCCCCCCCATATCCCCTTACTCCAGCACTCTCTACGTGAATGTCAAAACTGAGTCCATCCCCTCTATATCCAAATACTAAAGTTCATTATGCCACGTTCCAGTCCCAATTGTCTGAGCCGTCCATTTTTTTTGAAAGATCACCTTAGGAATATCAAATAAAATAATATATTTTAGTTGGAGAATAATAACATTAATGGATAAAAATTTCACTTGAAATGATGCATAGAAAACATTGGACAAAGTCATATAATCGGTACACCTCATTGTACCCTTACCAACTATAGACTGTGTTGTATCATCAATAGTCTGGATGCTCTCTGGAACTTTTTGATAAGTATAGGAAGAAAACTTTCTAGCAATATTTATCACACGTTGAGATGCACCAGCATCTACTATTCATTTTGATGATCTTATGGTGCAAGTAATGACAATAACATGTGTATCACGAGTGTCTTTGTCATAGTTAGTATAAGTGTCAATGTTACCACTTGATGACAACAAGGTGAAAGCATCGTTAGCCCTATCACATGTTGCTTGCTGCTTCCTCTTCAACATCTCTAGAAACTTTTGATTCTCATCGGTAAATAATACACTTGTTGCGCCCTCGTCCTCTACTACCATCAAATTTATCCGGTAGCCCTCTCTTCCACCTCTTCGAGCACGACCACGACCACCAATTTGTCCATGACCACATATCTCTCTCTTTAGGTGGCCTAGGACAGACATTTCTCTGATGGCCTATTTCACTGCAGTTGCAGCACTCGCGAGTCTCCCTCTGGACACCTGTCATACCCAAGTTTGAGACAACCAATGTTGATTGCGTACCTGGAAGTCCACTCAGCTCAGAGTGTAGCCTCATGCGACTCTCCTCCTGTATCATTGCAGTGATGACTTCATCCAGTGAAGGGATCATCGCCCAGCCTAGGAGGACCGATCTCGCCCGTTTAAAACTGCATAGTTCTCATATGTGCAAATATTTTTCTCTTCTTGTACCCGGATCACCAAAGTTCAACATCAGCGAGAAGTGATCAAAATCTGCACACAATCACTCCATATTTATAGAGTACTCCTGAATCGATCTTTCACCATGCTCCACTACCTTTATCTCACGCTAAATTTGGAACACCCTCATGTGGTTCTCATCCCTAGCATAGATCCTTTTTAGCTTCACCCAGATGTTCCTCACCTTTCTAATGCCATCTACAGATGAGGCAATTGATGGAACCATTGAGTTGAGTAGTTATGTGTAAAGCAAGGCTTGTGTGGTCTTCTACTCACGCCCTCAACACTGTCACTCTTTGGCTCGACTCTCCTTAGATATGTCTTTAGTCTCTTCCCTTCTAGAGCAACCTCAATTCGAGGCGACCAACTCAGATATGTGGTCGTTCCATCAAATTTCATATTCATGGGAGGGATCTCTAGTTTCACTTGCATCGGAGCACGTGTTGTGGTAGTGGCTCCCGTCAAAAATGCTAGCTTCTTGTGTGAGGCCGACAAATACCTTTAAAACTTAAGGATCTATCTTTCTGAGAAGCTCCAATCCTTTACCTCTCACATTATCTCCTTCTTCCAACATCCTCGAACACAAAATCTAAGTCTAGATCACACACAAATTTGATCATTCGTATCTGTAAGTTATTTTGGTTGTGGTATGCTGTTATCCCACCTTTAGCGTCCCAGTTTGCTCTAAATGCAGTTGCCTCACGAGGACTAACCAGAGGGAAGAGAAAAGTGGGAGTTTTGGTCTTTGTACACCGATCTTGACCGTCCCAATTAACTCTAGTCGCCGCTGCTTTGTGGGTTAACCGCCTTCATCTTGCCCCGTCACAGGATCATGTTGCTTCACCTGGGCGATCTAAGTGTAGAGTGGGTCGAATCCCTTCGATCCTTCTCATTATAGAAGCTTCCCCTCTTAAACATTGCATGCGCCGCCACAAACACCATCTTCTCTACCCGCTCCACTGCGACCGGTGATCGCTTACCTAGTCGGAGCAGCGGCGCACTGCACTGAGCACGCTATGCCGTGCAATGAAGGGAAATAAGCCTCACTGCAATTTTTCCCAACAACCGGAGCTCAATGAGGCACGTCTCCCCACCAAATGGCTATGGTTTAGCTCTGATACCAAAAAGAAGTAATTATTTAGAAAAACTTGGTTCATTTCATTAATGACGTGGGCTTATAAGGAGCCTTACAGTGTTCCAAATATAACTATTAACACCATCCTTCTCCCTCTCCAATTTTGGGGAAAACAGGGAAATTCTTCCCGACATTCAGGATAGCTTCAAAATGAACTCAACAAAAACCGCTTCTCTTAATATAATTCTTGGGTATTTATACACAAACTACCTATTAACACCTGGTGTCTTCACTTATTAAAATACCTCTCATAAGGAAAGGAAAAAATATTAATATGTGAATTTTATTCATAGAAGTACCCTCACCTTCCGCTAATTATGTCATTAATTCATCTAATCAAAACTAGATCTATTCAAGATGTTATTTTTTTATTCTTTCATATACAGCTGGGATCACACTTGCGTTATTTGGAGGGGTGCAGAAGTACTCCATGGATGAGAACAAGGTCCCAGTTCGAGGGGATATTCATGTCATTATTGTTGGTACCCATGATTTACTTTGTTGCTAAAGTTTATATGAATTTACCATTTTTCATCATGAATAATTTATAATTAGAATTTCAACCTGAATAATGTTTTGGCAGGCGATCCTGGACTGGGCAAGAGCCAACTTCTACAAGCCGCTGCCACAGTTTCTCCACGAGGCATATATGTTTGTGGAAATGCCACAACAAATGCCGGTTTAACTGTTACCATTGTCAAGGATCATATGACAAGTGATTATGCCTTTGAGGCAGGTATAAAGTCTGTTAGAATTTTCTTTTGTTCAACCATACAGCTTGTTAATTTTGAAGTTCCATTTTGTCATATTTGTATTATTGCAGCACTACATTATAAAAGGCCTCCTAAACTATTTTCCTTTGCAAATAGATTTACGTAAAATCGTAACTGCACCTTTATGACCATAACCAAACTTTCTTGTGGCCATGAAAGTTACAAGAATATAAAGCTTTAGGAAAGGAAAATGATCTAAAGGTCAAAAGGTTATTTCATGTGATTATTTGACTCCTAGAGTTTGTAAACTTGTCAATTTAGTCCTTCGTATGAACTTATTTCTTATTTGAAGAGTCATCTTTGTAATCCTATTTCAATTCAACAATAATATTTATATTTATTGTGGTTTGGGTCTCCGGTATCAATTTGTTACTTCCTCTTCTCTTTCGACAAACAATGTTCATAGTTAACTTTCTTTTTTTTGTGCTTCAATGCAATTAGAAACAACATAGATCTAAGTACTTTGCTTTAAAAATTTGTTGATTGACAAGTTTAGTATGCTAGGAATATAATTTCAAAGATAGATTGTAGCAAGAAATAATTATATTGAGAGGATAGTAAGATTGAGATTAACCTCAACGTATATGATCTTTGCAAATAGAAATTGTTTGCATTACCACAGTCGTATTAAATTTTTAATTTTGAAACTTGTGTTTGGAATTGTGATTGTAGCCAATTAGTTGGGTCAACTTGAGTCTCTTTTTGACTGCTTATAATGTTATCATCCTATTCATAAGGTTGTTGTTATCCTATCCTTATGTTGGTTATTGTTCCCTGAATATGTTGGAGGTTATTTTTTATTTGAAGGTTTGTGGATAGCTTCACAAAAAAATTAACAATTATGCCTCAATGGTTGGAAGAAAATCAATCACAAGATTTTGTTTAGTATTTTTTTTTTAAGTTGAGCATAATTGGTCCAATTCTCAAAGTCTCCGGTCGTCATTAATACAGAATCTTTATATGTTGATAATTTTGAAATTTTAATTATCTTTTTAAATTGTTTATTAGTGAGCATAATTGGTCCAATTCTCAAAGTCTCCGGTCATCATTAATACAGATTCTTTATATGTTGATAATTTTGAAAATTTAATTATCTTTTTAATTTTTTTATTAAGGCATTTACATGCATAGTATTCAATTCTTATGTATTTAAATATCTCATGCCTCAACTTTCATATTTACATACATTATACTCAACCTTATTAGCAGATAAAAAATAACACTTATCCACCCTTTAAAAGTGAAGTACCATACTTTTAAGCAACAAAGTGTTATGCATAAAAATATGAAACTTTACGCGTGAGACACATACATACATAAGAATGGTGAGCTACATATAAATTTCCCTTATTTTATCAACAGGTGCGATGGTTCTCGCTGACGGTGGTTTATGCTGTATTGATGAATTTGATAAAATGTCTGCAGAGTATCAGGTAACTGTTGTTGACTTCTGTTTGTTGATCAAAATGTGTTTTACCTGAATCAATTAGGTTTTATATGAACTTTTAATAGGCTCTTCTAGAAGCCATGGAACAACAGTGTGTCTCCATTGCGAAGGCTGGATTAGTAGCAAGTCTTTCTGCACGTGCTTCCGTTCTGGCCGCAGCGAATCCTGTTGGTGGTCATTATAAGTCAGTCCCTTTGGTCCTCTGTTCCTATTGGAGTAAATTGTCAAAATAGTCCCCTGATTGTTTATATGAAGGCAATTTTAGTCTCAGATTTTATAATAGTGTCAAATTAGTCCCCATAGTTTTTAAACATAGGCTAAAATAGTCATCAATGGAGACTATTTTAGCCTATATTAAAAGAATCTGAGACTTTTGGACTAAAAAGTCTGGGGATTATTTTAACATTTTTCTCATTCTTATTGATTATTTGCACATATGAATTTCTCTTCGTATATAACTCTGCGCATCTTTTTCTGCTCTTGTACACTTTAATAATGCATCTATGAAGAAAAGTAATATAATATAGGGCATGTACATACCTACCACCCAATTCCTAGTATTGACATATCTAATTCCTAAAATTAACTTTTCTACATCTATAGCACTCAAATTTTTTATTTCACATAAAAAATATCACCATCTTTCTCTCAAAAGGCAAAATACATCTTTTCTTACATAGGTAAAACGGCATGTATGTAAAAATTGAGGTTTAGGTGTTAGACATGTAAATACATAGGAATTAGGTGCTATGTACGTATGTAAATGCATAGTTAAAGTTGGACACTAATTGAAGGGCAGGAGTACACATCAAAAAGTGGGATGTTAGTGTAATGACTGGTTGCAATTTAAATCACAATTGAAATGACTAAGGCTGAAAGTCAAGGGGTGTATATACAAAACCTTCTTGTGCTTGGTTTTTATGTTTTCCATTACATGCATTTGTAGGTTGCAGATATTACTAAGAATTACTGTGCTGTAGGATGCTCATTTTTAAGCATCCAAATCATGAGGGGTGTATTTTATTTATTTATCTTTAAAGCTTGATTTTCAGGGTAGAGGCCTTAAGTTAACCTATTTGTTTTCTTTAGAAAACTTGTTGTGTGGAGTTGAAGAGCCTAAAGCAGATCTTACACCTGATTTATAATTAGTATAATTGTCTGGTATAGATTTCTTTCATTTCATATTTAAGGAGTGTATTTTTTTGTTGGAATGCTTATGTGTGAAACATATTCTAAGATGATGACTATGAATGAGCAAGACAACTTCAATTTCATTCCACTACCTTGATTCTGTCGTGTGGTGTGGGTTAGAGGGCCATGTAAGTAAGTCTAAAGTTTTGAACTTTGAGAAGTGAGCTTAGAATGGCATAAAGACAGCAAAAAGCTTGTTAAAAAAGAATAGAGGGGCAGGTTGTCCTAAAATTAATTGACAATTCTTTATTGTCATGTCATTTTACATGCTAGTTTAGTGTGAAGAAAGATATTGCTCATTCTAACTTTGCTAAGGGATTGTTTGGTTTGCTGTGAAAGGAATGAAGTGTAAATATAATGTATTGTATTTAGAATATTTTAGAGTTGTTTATTTTAGTATAAAACAAACACAGTATTTTATATTTATTCTTTGGTTTGAAGAAAATGAATCATTGTGAAATACACTTGTCAGTGGTAGTGGTGGCCAAAAATAAAGGAAGTGGTTGGCTTTGACAAATTTTCAGCTGCGTTGGGTGGGTGGGTTAGCTTTGTAGCTACTGGAGATGGCAACGGACAAATTTTCAGCTGCGTTGGGTGGGTAGTAGTGGCATCGACTGGCATTGCAGCGGTGGCTGGAGACAGAGATTTGCAAATAGCTGGCTTGGGTGGTGGGGTTTGTGGTAGGCGGCATATAACACTCTACACAAAACAATACATTTGACATTTGCTTAAATCCAACAAATTTCAAATACATTGATATTGAACTAGAGAATAAATTTCAAATGCATTGTAATTTTACATTTTTTTTTGTTTTTCTTCTGACCAAACATATAAATTTTTAGCAGTCGTGCAAAAATATTGCAGTGTCCTCCTTTAGTTGGCGACCAAATAGCCCTTAAATGACATCTCAAATCTATATCATAAGCATGTAGGAAATTTTGTGTAACGTAGAATTTTGATGGTTGGCTGTTAAGTACCATGATAAATCTATAAGAAAAAAAATCTAACATAAACCTTTTTTTGAAAGCAAAGAAACTTGTCCTAGCTAGCTCTATCTATAATTAAAACATGTAAATGTATGAGTTGATAAATTATTACTCTAGATACTTAGTTCTTATTGGATTGTTGCTTGACGATAACATAAATATAAAACAAGTTTTGAATTTGACAACACCACCACTTATGTATGCCAGATTGCCAGTTAAATGCATAGGGCTGCAAATAGGATGAGTGTTCTATGAATTACTCGTGCTTCGGTTCAATTAAAGCTTGTTCATGATCGTTTGATTAACTAATCAAACATGCTTGAATAATTTTATAATTATTCGGTTGTTAAATAAACAAGCTTGGTTCATTTATGATCATAAACAAGATCATTTAAAACTCAGTAAGAGTCTTTATTAAGTACTATTTAAGCTCAACAAGATTTAATCTTGAGAAGGCATTCACGGGAGAAGCAGTGTGTGAATAGGCTCTTCTTAACAAAATAAGGATTGTTTTCTAAGTTTTCTCAATTAAGACCTCGTTTGCTAAGCCTAACAAACTTAGCTTGATAATGCTCTTTTTTTCAAATGAGCTATTCGTTTAAATTTTATTAATCAGAATTTTGATCAAGCTTTAGGTAATTGTGCTTGAGCTTGAATACAAGTAGAATATCTCATATTGAGCTTGAGCCAAGTTTTAAGCTTGTAGTAAACGAGGCCTGACTCAACTCGATTCATTTGCGGCCCTAAATGTGCAAATTCACAAACTGCACCTGGCATAAGTTGATTATCTTAAATTATGAAGTAATGGAATTTTTAATTAATAGTTTGTGTTTATTAATAATAGTTTATTTTGCTTCTATTATTTTATTAATTTAGAATAATTTTTTTTGTTGAATCCCATATTATCTTTTGTGAACATGACTTGAGAGTTAGAGTCGAGTGAATGAGAGAATAAAGTGCATCAAGTGTTACTGTGGAGAGAACCTGGGGAGAGTCCCTTGATTCATATTTTTATCTCATATTTATATAGACGTATTTTGTACAATTACAGAAATGAGAGAATAATTGTGGAAACCGTTCTTAATATGATTAATATTGTAATAAACTGTATGGATTTCATTCCATATCTGTATTACAATTTGAATTTTGATATGACAGTAATTGGTTGATCGATTCGCTAAAATGTTATTGACTGAGGCAATCAATTGGGTGGCGACCGTGCCTTATGTTTAGTCGACCGATTTGTTCTGTCGAATGAAGATCTCGTTCGCCGCTGCAAAAGCGTCTCGGCCGTCCAATCGCGATCAGAGCGTTTTTGGTTGCTCTTCGGTCGGTTGGTTGGTTGACTGATGAGTCGATTTATTTTGTCGGGTGAATCGTGGCTCATTTGTCGCTTTGACTCAAGTTATTGGGCCTATTCTCGTCTACTTTGTCGGCTCGTCGCCTTAGCTGGATACCCCTATTTGCAAGGACTTAGGCGAGTCTTGTCGCTGCCTGTGTGAGGTATTCGATGAGATTTGCTGCTATAATGAATTACAGCTCGCCCTTGACGGATATTGTTGCTATCGGGTTAAGGACCATCTCCAGAGCTTTGACCTATCGTGGGTTTAAAGGCACGGCTTCACCTGCTTGGTGATGACTTGTCGGTCGACTGCTTACCCTTTTGGGGGAAGTTTTTTATTTTTGGCCATTCATTCTCTTTAAAATTCGTGCTAGTAACTTTAGTGTATACAATTTTGTGTTTTTCTTTCATTTTCATTATAAAATTTGCATG